GATGGGGCCAGACTCTTTTCAGTGGTGGACAGTGATAGGACAAGGGGCAACGGGTACAAACTGGAACACAGGAGGTTCTGCTTAAACATGAGAAAAAACTTCTTTATTGTGAGGGTGCCAGAGCTTCTATACCTAAAAAATAAGTTTTTTAAGCAAATCTCTCACATGAATCCAGGAGCTCTACTATTGAGAGAGGCAAAATGTAATGTTAAGATAGCAATATCTTAGCAGAGAATTGCTCAGTTTGTTAGCTGCTGTGGTAGCCAACAGAAATGTGTAAGCAACTTCAGTTTTCTAGTTTTGTAGTTAACCCCCCTGTCCTTTGGGTTTAGGGGGACAGTTTCTATGGAGAAAGATGTTTGAATCCTTTTCTGTGGAGCATCTATGCACGCGATGCTGGCTGATAAGTTCCAACACTCAAATCATCTATTTAATGATTTCTGATTTTTTTTTTTTGGTGAAGAATATTATAGAGATGCTTTGAAAGCAGTGAAAGAAGAAAATGACAGACTTGTTGAGAAGCACATGAAGTTATGTAAGAAACAAGCCCTTGAGGTATTTCTTCTGCCTTTTTTAAAAGTGCTAACTGCATCATAGTTAGGATTCATTTACTCTGCAATAACAATTATTTTAACTCAAATTAGGACTTGGAACTTTTTTAATAACTTAAGAGTAAAGTAAATTGCAAATCTTACTAAACATGGCATTGGTTATTGTTATATACACATGTACTTTTTAATTTTATTTACAGCAGACTAACAATGAGTAGATGTGAGGGCATTTTACAAACAAGGTGTGGGAAACTGGGGCACCAGAGACTGATACGACTTGTTCAAGAACATGTCACTTTTGCTGTGACCTTGATTTTGACATTTGCAGAGATTTCAAAATACAATAACACAGTAAAAGATTGTCTGCATGGAAATTATGATAGTTGAACATACATCAGTTTGAATTTACATCAGTTTGTTTAAATATACAACAGTTTGGGGAAAAAAAAAAAAAAAAGAAGTTGTTTTGTACTTGTAAAGTACAACATTTTTAAGTGCCGAAATAGTGCAGTCAACAGTAGTTGGGTGTTGGACTAGATGACCTTTAAAGGTCCTTTCCAACCCAAACCATTCTATGATCCAGTAAAATTTAGGCTTATTGATACATAGATGATTTTTTTTGTCATGACTGTCAGCTCTGATTTGGAAACATGATTTACAAATATTTACGGTGATGACTTCTTAAAGGCACAAAATGCAAACTTCAGTACAAATCACTGGTTGGGCTCATTAGATGTTTAAATTCCCTGACTTCAGTGCTGGAATTTTCAGTCATGTGAGAACATAATCCAAAGGCCTGTGTTTATGGTGGTCTACAAGAGCATCTTCCCTCCCAGTTGTTCCTTTCCTCTAACTGACATTGATAATTAAATCGTAGCCTTGGCTAATTAGCATAGACCTGTACATGTTTAAGCCACTTGTTGTAGATCAGTACTGCCTCATTTGTGATTTTTCTTGTGTTTCTTAATAGCTAAAGGTTTGATTTCCTGAAAACAAAGATTGGAACAGTAGTGGGAACATAGCAGAACTTGTTGGGCAAAAAGGAAATATCCTATTTTAATATGGGAAATTATAAAATAATGTAAAATTGCTTGACATACAAACTGCACTAGGCAGGATGATGGAGAAGAAACAGCTGGCCTTGTGGATTAAATCCCCTTGTCATCCCTGAAGGGATGCTACAGTCTGTTGTGTGAATCTTTCTTAGTTATTTCTTGCTAAACAGCAGAAAGTTCTTCTTTATAGTGTGCAGCACTGTCGGAGTCCTTCTTTCAGATGAGATGATCTTAAATTGTGTTTTCTCAGAATGCTGTAAGATACTTGGACAAAAACAGTTGTAGAGAAGTTGAAGAGAATGAATGGCTAAAAGAAGCGGTAAGACAATCACCTGCACACAGTTTATAATGGTAGTTCAGGTCTGAAATACCATGGCCAACAGCCATCACTGGTTCCAGTGATGGGTCTCTGAAGATGTTCATAGGAAAAGGAGAGCAATTTTCCTGTGATTAATTTGTAATCCTGAGTAACAAACAGTATTCAATGGTGAATAAAGGTAAAGGTGAGCATCTGCTTTCAGAAATGAAGGACCCTTTTTCTTGCCCAAGCAGTTACAAGAAGGTCTACAACATTCCATACAATTAAGTATTAAATCTGTGGAGATTGTGATATTATATCATGTAAAGGTTCAACCGTGTAGGTATCTGAAGAGTGTAGTTTTGAATTGCATTACAGTTCTAGTGCTGCCATATTGACAGAAAATGGATATGGATGTTGGAAACATTTTTGGAGAAAGGGCTTGAGTCAGCTTTAAATAGGAGATAATAAAGAAACCTTGGAGATTGGTACACTAAAGAGACTAAAATTTGCTCTGTACAACTGCCTGAAAGGAGGGTGTAGAGAGGTGGGGGTGGGTCTGTTCAACCAAGGAACAAGGGACAGCACAAGAGGAAATGGCTTCCAGTTGCACCAAGGGCAGTTGAGATGGGATGTGAGGAAGAATTTCTTTGCTGAAAGGGTTCTGAGGCATTGGAAGGGGTTGCCCAGGGACAGTGGTGGAGTCCCCATCCCTGGAGGGATTGAAGAGTCGTGCAGACACAGCGCTGAGGGACATGGGTTAGTCGGGGACTTGTCAGTGTTGGGTTAATGATTGGACTCGATGATCTTAAAGGGCTTTTCCAATCCAGGCAATTCTGTGAAAATCAAAATCTTATATCATTGTAACTGATTACTTGATAGCTTTTATACTGTCCTTTAGTGGCAATTCAGAGCTATATATTAGATAGCTGTAACTTTTCTTATCAAGAAAAATCTTATTTGTGAGTTAAATTTACGAAACTGATTTTTCCATAGTGAAAGTTTGTTATTGTAATTGTGTTCCAATTAATACAGGTTCTTTGTTGCAATCAAATCTAAGCAAGAGATTGGAGGGAGGAAATACCCTTCCCCACCTTTACAACCTCACAGTTCAGAACTGAGCAAAACTTTTTTGGAAATTCGCTGGAGCACCTCTCCTATGAGGACAGGCTGAGAGAGTTGGGGCTGTTCAGCCTGGAGAAGAGAAGGCTCCGGGGAGATCTTATAGTGGCCTTCCAGTACCTGAAGGGGCTACAAGAAAGCTGGGGAAGGACTTTTCATAAGGGCAGTTAATGACAAAACAAGGGGAAATGGGTTTAAGCTGAAAGGGGGGAGGTTTAGATTAGATATTAGGAAGAAGTTCTTCACTGTGAGGGTGGTCAGACACTGGAACAGGTTGCCCAAGGAAGTTGTAGATGCCCCCTCCCTGGAAGTGTTTAAGGCCAGGCTGGATGAGGCTTTGAGCAACCTGGTCTAGTGGAAAGTGTCCCTGCTGATGGCAGGGGGGGTGGAACTGGATGATCTTTAAGGGCCCTTCCCACCCAAACCAGTCTGGGATTCTATGACTTTTCAGTGCCACATGAACAAACCTGGCAGAGGTTTCTCCATTTTACTTCCTAGTTTAAGATACTTACCAGTATGCAGGGCTATGACTTTCCTTCTTCACCTAGTCGAGCTCTGAGCCTGTATCTTTAACTTTCCAGGGAGGGTGTCCAAACTGCAGCTTCTGAGGCAATGAGTAGGGGTCAATAGGAAATAATTAATGTTTTAATCTGTATAAACAAACAATCTATACATCCTACCACTGAATGAGTAGGAATTCCCTTCCCATCTCCCTCTCTCACTGAACGCTTAGGAATTTTACAGACATTAGGCCATGTCAACAAGGGAGATCCACTTTGGAGTACTCAAGTCCTGACAGACCATCACCTCAGAGTGGAGGGATTTTGGTTTCTTTCCTCTCAACTAGAAGTTTCCTATGTTATGAATTAGTTTCCTGTGTTACTAGTTTCCTAAGCTATGACTTAATGCTTTGAATTATTGTGGAAAACAAAACTATTACCACTTAACTTCTCCAGTCCTCTGAATACACCCATTCATTTTCTGTGCTTTTCTTATACAGATTAAATATTTTCTTTCAGGCTAATCGTTATATGTACCTGTCAGACTCTTCCCATATTTCCTTTGGGGAGATAAACCAAAAATTTAAGTTTTGTCCCAGTTCAAATTTGATAATTTTTTTTCAGTTTGGCCACTGAATTGAAAAATGACTTACCAAAATAGCCCTAAATTAGTTACATCCAAATTTGAACAGATTTGGAGACTTCAGTCACATTTTTCCATGGTTACTGTGTCACACCAAGATGGTGCAAAGCTGCATCACCTCATCTTGCCAAGCCACATCCTGTTGCTGGTTAATGTCCTGTCATTTTCACCTTTTTTAATCCCTGGGAGAAATGAGAACTAGTTAACTGCAAATTTGGATGATTGTAGCTGGGTTAATTTGGCTTTGGTGAGAACAGATGCATTCAGATCACTAGGTACTGTTTCTAAACGTGTGTGTATGGCTCAGATTTCTGGGAAGTAACCTGTCCCATAGTATGTCCCACTTCCCAGTGAAGGGGTAAGAACTTGCTTGTACTTCAGGAAAAGTAAGAGGAATTGTGGGAACTGAATAACTGGTATCCTTTGGTTAATACAACTTTATGGCAATATGAGGCAATTACCAGTCCCAAAGAAGTAGAACCTGGGGTTTAGCCAATGTTGTGGCTGACTTGGACTGAAAGCTTCACTAATTCTGGATAAGAAGGTTTTGTGTATAAGCAAGAATTAGAAAAGCAACGTTTGCTTAGCAAGAGCCTGAATTTAAATCTACAAAGAAGATTTTTCTCTCTTAAAGCTCTGATGTGAAAGCAAAAAAGAAAAATCCTGAGTTTCTGTCTCCCAGACCTGTTTGGCCACATGAAAAGGTTCTGCTATCAGGGTTGCATAGCCCAAATGTTTGGCTGTGATCAACAGTGTTGTGGCAGTAAAGGGTTCTAAAAAAACCTGTGAGAGAACCAGAGAGGCCTTCCCTTTGTCTGAAAATGTGTCTTTATGTTTCCCCACCAAATGCACAGTGTTGCTGATACAGCTGCATTCTTTCTAGGTATGCACTATTAATATAGGTACTTTGAAAACCTTCCAAAATGGGTATAATCTTTTTAAGATGATCCTTTTGGTTTGGTTTTGTTTGTTTTGTTTTGTGTTTTTTAAATTGTCAAAAGGTTAAGAGGTACCAAAAGGAAGTAAGTGATTTGAAAGCCTCTATTCAGCTGCTGGAAGAGGAAAATACCGCTTTAGTGACAAAACTGATTGATGGCAAACTTCAGTATCTGAGAGGACCCAGGTAAATCCAGACTCAAAAGTGATTTAATTATTTTAAAGAACACAGTGCCTTCTCCTGCCTCTAGAGCTATTTGGGCTCTCCCACAACAAAGCCAAGGTAACTTCCTAGTTGAGGAGAGGCAGGATTTGACCGAGTATGTGTAGGACTTAGGTCTCTGAAGGATGGCAGTGATATTGTAACCTCTCAAATTCCAAAATTCAGGGAAGGAACTGGGATCTTTAATAATCTATTAAGGCTTAGCAGCACTCACTGTCTTTTACTGGGGATACCATTGGGACTTGGAAATAGTTTCTTTCCGTTGTAATTTTCTCAGACCCAGCTTCTCAGACCAAGTGCTGAGTACTAGATTTTTCCTTTACTGTTGGCAAAATGTTTAAGGATGTGAAGATTAATATGCAAATAGATGGAGTTTTGCAATCTCAAGTGAAACAGATGACCTGGTCCTGAGTAAGGAAGAGGCCTTGGGATTGGTCTGTCTCTGGAGGCATCTGTGGTATTAGTTTCTTTTATATTGAAATTATTTAACTTGTTCCCTAGAGAAAGATTAATTTAGCTGTAAAATGTCAACACTAATGGTATCAAAAGTACAGTGTAACAATGGGAATGATCCATCTTCATTTTCCAGTCCCAGCTCAGTGATTTCAGCCGTATTGCATACAAAGAGTTCCAAGTCTTAAGAAGTGACCATTTTTCCCTCCTCTCCAAACTTTGGACTGCTTTTAAGTGAGAACTGCCAGCTGCGGTTTGAATTTTGGACTGACTGGAGACTATAACATTTGTTTTCTTTTAGTCTCATGGACATAGTTGAACTTAGGCACTAAGAATAAAAAAGAGCAGCTTATTAGCCACTAAGCTACCTGGCTGCCTCCATTGCATTTTTAAACCATTGCACTATTCTGTGTTTGTGGTTAAGCAGCAAATGGCTTTCAGAAAGAGTGCCCCCCTCCCCCCCAAAAAAAGATTGCACAGGAAAATTTAGAGAGAAAATTAATACCTTTAATATGAGTCTCACTTTTTATTATTATTATTTTTATTTCATAGGCATTTGTTTCTTACCCAGGCAGCTGGTTTGCAAGATGAATTTCCTAAGGATGAAATGAAAACAGAGTATAGAGAGTATGCAGGTAATGCACATGCCAGCAGTTTATGGGAACTGATAAGTCACTGAACATTTAAGCACTGTTTATTTCTTAAGATTTTTATCAAACTGCCTGTTTTACATGGTGAACACTTAATTTCCCACCTAATTGCAGCCACGACAGAAATGACAGACTGGAGTTTGCATTAAGAAAACAAAACCACAATCTACCTGTAATGAAGTTTAAAATTGAAATGGGTATTTTGATTGTTGAATGTAATCCAGCTAGCCTGGAATGTGGCTAATAGGATCAGCCATCCTTTATGAATATATGATTCATATCTTAATCAGATCTTTACTGATCCATATAATCATAACTTCATTATATCTTGTCCCTGAGAGGACACTCTTGAACTCTACGCTGGCTTTCACTTGAAATCTACATGGCATGAGTCACTCAGCTCATAAAAGATACACTGGAGTTAAATTATAAATAAATTCCCAGTAAGAGCAGACAAAGCTGCATGGAGATCAGCCTGAACTGAAAATCTTGGTAAGCAGTAATAAATTTTGGGCTGAATCTCCATTTATTCAGGTAGGTGTGCCCAGGAAAAGGTAATATCATTAGGCAAGAAGAATTGCATGAGTTTGCTTATCCATTCACGGTGGTTTGTATGGATTCCTTAATATCACATTTTATTTACTGACTTTGTGCGAGTAGAAGAAGGAGTGGGGAAAAAAGGACAAAATTAAATCAAAGAGGTAAGTTCCAAAAAATTGAAACCATACAGTTCTGAATGTGTGAACAAGTCTGTTGAGGTTCTGATCAGTTCCAACCATAGGTGGGTCTTTCTGGAACCATCAGGCATCAACCAACATGTTGACTAAGACTTCTGAATTAGATATAGGTTTATTTTGAACAGTTCATCTCTATTACCTTTGCCAGACCTTTACAATAGTTACTGGGAGGAGGAGGTTTTGTTCCAGTAAGCTGGGGTCAAGTCACTGTCCCAGGCAAACATATAACTCAACAGTCCATGTCCAGAATTGTCTGTCATCCTGAGAATTATTCAGCTGCAAATGTGAGCTCTTCAAGGGAGGTATAAGTGGGCTAGCTGTGTGTCAGGGACTCGTATATATGTACATATAGAGATATATACATTCATATAGAAAAAGTTTTTATTTGTTTTTGCTGCCTTTCCTATTTTTTTAACTATTCATGGCTATTTGCCTTCCAGTACCTGAAGGGGCCTACAAGAAAGCTGAGGAGGGACTTTTTATAAGGGCAGTTAATGACAGAACAAGGGGAAATGGCTTTAAACTGAAAGAGGGCAGGTTTAGAATAGACATTAGGAAGAAGTTCTTCACTGTGAGGGTGGTCAGACACTGGAACAGGTTGCCCAGGGAAGCTGTGGATGCCCCCTCCCTGGAAGTGTTTAAGGCCAGGTTGGATGAGGCTTTGAGCAGCCTGGTCTAGTGGAAGGTGTCCCTGCTGATGGCCGGGGGGTTGGAACTGGAGGAGCTTTAAGGTCCCTTCCAATCCAAACCATTCTGTGATTCTATGATATAGGATTTAAGTTGAACTGTTAAAAGCTAATTTTTCCCCTGCCCTGTCCCACAGACCCATTACTTGTAACTTCCAAGCAATTTCAGTCCCTGATCTTGATCAGAAATTGTGAACAGAAATAAACATAGAAAAATCAGTGAGCAAAATCAACATTTGGCTTGGATTGCCAATTAAAAATCTTACCAAGCTGTTAATTATATCACACTGGCCAAGTCATGTTAAAGATTGCAGGCAATGCTCGTACTGAATACTAATTCTGATCTTCATAAAGCTCAGCAATTACATACACATCATTGTTCATCTCTTTAAAAAGCAAAAGCAGATGGAGATGAAAGCCTCAGAAGTGCCACAGTCCCCTCTCAGAAAAATAAGGCTTTTGCAAAGATTCCATCTAAAACGGAGGAGAAGCCTCGAGACAGTGATGAGGAGCTGATGAGGGAAAAGTGTTTCGCTCCAACTCTTCGTAGCTTGTTGTATGAAGAAGAAAAAGATTTCCAGGTATGAGTTAAAGTAATTGAGTCTTTCACTGACACAGCCATATTTCAATGTGGAGCATGAGGTACTGCCGGGAATGTTCTATTCCCAGTGGTGTTAGGGCAGAAAAAACTCCTGCATCTTTTACTTACTGTACAATTCAGATGCTTAATCACAGGCATCTGGTGCTATTTGAGATGGTGAGGACACTCCCTGTCCTTCAGATTCTGGGCCAAAAGAGCAGAGGTTCTGCCACAGAGGTCAGCCTCACATGGATGTTTTGGATGCTTTAGGGCATTTGTGATTGATAGCATGAGACACGTTGTTTTGGCAATAGAATGGTGTCCTAGGAGTCAGCATACGTGCGTGTCAGGATGAAATTCCCCCCAGAAAGAATTCTGAATGTCACCTAGTGACAGTTGTCTATGGTTTGGCAACGACTCATTTGCTTGGATGCTGGTCCTTTAGAGTTGATGTTGCATAATAGCATGAAAGGATCAACAAATAATTTGTTCCTTCAACAGAAAGTCAGGATGAAGGTGTTCCTTAGTGCAAAATACACAGGTTGAGAAAATAAACATGTACAGGTTATATCTAAATAGGCAGAGTTTGTGTGGTTCTTGAAAGAGGTGGTGGCACCTGCTTCAGGAGATCCTTGATCCTAGGTTGCAAAAAGATGCTTCCTGGCTGTCTGTGATACTGCACTCTTGAGTTATGAAAAATTGAATAGATTTCTAAATAAACTAATTACTCTCAGAAAATACATTACTCTACATCATCAATTTCTACTGCAAATTAAAGGAGATGATATAGACATGGTGCAGACTGCAGGGCTTGCTGTGTACAGATGCTTCTCCGCAATGTTTCTTTACTCTTGAATATTCTATTCAAACATATTTAACAATGAGTTAAAAAAAAACAAACAAACCAAAAGCCAAACAGCAGCAGCTCTTTTTCTAGACATTCAGCATTAGTTTAATAGCCTGCAACTTGTGTTCAGAGAAATCATCCTGTTGCCTTGATCAGAGACTAACTGAAGGAGTGCTCTGTCCTGAAGAGCCATTATATAGAAAAACTGAACATTTAACAAAAAACAAACCCCAAACCATCTGTCCCGGTGTTTGTTTCCTTGCAGTGGTTACCTTGGGAGAGGAATACTAGCTTTCCTTCTTTCTTTCTGCTGTGAGTGCTGCAGAAAGCAGAGGGACACTGAGGGACAGAGGTGCTGCTGATATTCTTGTACTTTGTAACCACGAAGGTTTAACTGCAAACAGTGGTGTTGCATTGGCAACTGTCATGAAAGCATTTATTAACTCGAGGGGATTGAAGAGCCTGCAGTGTTGGGTTCCTGCTTCCCTCTCCCTGGCCTTGGCTGCACAGTCCTGCTCCTGCCCTCAGGGAACCTGTCGGGCACATCGGCCTTTTCTGTAGCTGATTCACTCGCTAACCCAGCAGAAAATCTTGCCTTTTTCTCTCCTCACGAATTACTTTTCTGTTGGGTTAGTCAACCGAATGGACTCAAAGGTTTGGAGAAGACCAGAGCCAGCACAGACGTGGTAGAAGCACATGGGTGGACTTGGACCTCTCTCTTTTGGCAGTAGTGAGCTGTTGGATTAGTTTAATTCTTCTCACAGAACTGAACTTGGGAACAAAATTTGGTTTGCGGAGAAATTGTTATTGGTGAAAACGAAACACACAGGAAAAGAAGGGAGCAGGGCTGCAACCTCCTAAGATGACCTGGCTTGTAAACCAAGCCCATTAACACTGACATTGCCAAACATGGCAACCCCAGGGCAGCATCTTCCCAGGAGCTTTTAAAGCAAAAGTTGCTGGGGTTTTTTTGAAGAAAAGCTGCTTTTCAATTTAATTGCAGAAGAATAATATTCTGTCTTCTTAAGGAATACTTAAAACTGGATCCTCTGGAGACAGAGCTGATGTGTGTGGTTGGAAGAGCCATGCCTATTCATAAAGAACCAGAAGAAACACCAAGCACGAGCCACAAAGAAGACGGCATTATTGGTAAATCAGATGGGCACATCACAGCTCAGATGATTAAGGCCTTATTTGAAGAAAAGGTTGGTTAAAAAGAGACAAGCTATGCTGTTAACATAGAAATGTAACACTCTCAGTTCATTAAATATTTGTTCTGTTCTTCATTTGCTCTCTTCTTCAGTATTTGCTCTCTTCTGTGGCACTGGGCTTTGTGGAAACTATTTTTGAGTGTTTAAATCATGATTTACACATAGAAGTTTAATGAGAGGTATGTCTGTGTGCAGATGGCTAATTAAAAGGTCGCTTTCCTGACCACTGTGAGAACTCTCGTGCACTTCTTGGGCTTCTCAATCCAAGTAGGTGCACATGTATCTAATACAGGATCCAAGTTAATGTTTAGTTTTTGTGGTCCTCACTTGCAATCTGTCAGAAGTGGAATTCCCTCTTGATCAGACACAGAATGGGTAAATGCAGGCTGCCATAAAATGTAAGACCTGTTACAAAATACATTAGACCCTGCTAAAGCAGAATCTGATTGATCCAAGCACAATGCAACTAGTGCTAGAAATGGAACGTTTGAATACATTTTATCTGTCTTGATAAAACCTCTAGTTAAATATATTGAAATAACCAAAAATTAATTGAAAAAATAAAAAATTTAAAAACCAGAGCATAAAAGTCATCAAAGTCTTAAATTTTACATGTTTTTTTAGAACTGGCTGTCCCTTTGGTTTGTGGCTAGCCTCTCTGAACATGTGTCTTGGTGCATTGAATCAGCGAGGGGTTTTTTTTCCAGTCTCATTGCACATCCTGGACACCCTGTACATCAGGAATACACAACAGAGTTACTTTCCACAGGCAGCAGCAGACTTCTGACCTGTGCATTTCCTATTTAGAAACCTGTGAAAGCATTGAATACTCTTGATTTAAAACTTCGATGGGTTAATCAGCTCTGTGGACACTGGTGAGGCTGCACCTCGAGTCCTGTGGTCAGTTTTGGGCCCCTCACTCCAAGAAGGACATGGAGGTGCTGGAGCGTGTCCAGAGAAGGGCAACAGAGCTGGGGAAGGGTCTGGAGCACAAGTGTGCTGAGTTCCCGGCTGAGGGAACTGGGGTTGTTGAGCCTGGAGAAAAGGAGGCTGAGGGGAGACCTTCTGGCTCTGTCCAACTCCCTGAAAGGAGGGTGCAGAGAGGTGGGGGGGGGTCTGTTCAACCAAGGAACAAGTGACAGGACAAGAGGAAACGGCCTCAAGTTGCACCAAGGGCAGTTGAGATGGGATCTGAGGAAGAATTTCTTTGCTGAAAGGGTTCTGAGGCATTGGAAGGGGTTGCCCAGGGCAGTGGTGGAGTCCCCATCCCTGGAGGGACTGAAGAGTCGTTTAGACACAGCGCTGAGGGACATGGGTTAGTCGGGGACTTGTCAGTGTGAGGTTAATGGTTGGACTCGATGAACTTAAAGGTCTTTTCCAGTCCAGGCAATTCTGTGTCCCTGCTGTAACTCAGCTGAGTTACTGCAAAGACTGAGGTGACTCCTAGAGCTGGAGTGTCAAGAGAACGGGGACTGGTAATGTTTCCAGCACAGCAGCAGCCTCCCCTGGCCTGCCCTGGCTTTCTTTGAGTGAGGTGCAAGCCCCATGAAGTGCTTTACCTGGGAGAGAGATGAGTTCTGCTCAGTGATTCCTTTAGCTTTTCATTTCATCGCCGAATTAGAATATGGCTGATGCTGCACAGCACATCTGTTAAAAGCCTCTCCTTCCACCGCTCTCCGAAGGGCAGTTACATTTCCCAGGGATGTAGCTGTAGGACCCATCTCCAGGCTTCTCTTTGCTTATGCCCATAATGCATTCCACCATGTGGAGGACATATGGCAGGACAACAGGAACGTGTACCTTGGAGAAAAGAAACTTCACCTCTTGAAGTCTCTGTTTAGCCTTGTACCATAAACGCCTGTGTGGGTGAGAGGGAGTTACAGGGAAATCTGAAACATGCTAATGAGGGTACAAGCCACAGGCCGCCTGCTCGAGCCAGAAGCAACAGCCTGTAGCAAAACAGACTTAGTGAAGCGTCCCAAATCCCCTTGATTTCTATAGGATTAGTACCGAGGGCAGCGCGAGGATTGTGTACGCAGAGAGCCAGGTCTCTGCAAATGAGACATCTGGGTTTGATCATTTTGTTACTGGCAAAATCGCTCAGGAATGAGCAACGTGTTGTAACCCAGAGGGCTGATCAGTTCGCTTCCTGGCAGCATGGCCAGCGCTTCCAACTCCTACTTAAACGATGGGAGTCAGGGTTCACTGCTCCAGTTGGGTCAAAACTTACAGGAGTCGCCCTTAAATTCCCACTTTTACAAAAGACCTTTTCTTTACTGTGTGTCCAGTGTGCAATAGAGACACGGTAACGAAGGACATGAGTCAGGCTACAAGACACAGAAAAGTGTCCGTGTGTCCCCACAACTACAGTCCGAGAAAAGCCCTGGTTGAGCTGGAGTTATGTATCTAACTGGTGCACAACGCTAAGAAACTTGCAGCTTAACAGGAAAAACAAAACAAACCAAAACCTCACAAGTGTTCACTGGAAAGGCAAAGTTAATAAATATGAGCATCACCCACGTTGCAGGTAACTGTGTGGTAACAGAAGCCATTTTAATAGAATCAAAGTCTCTGTGCTGGAACTGAGAAACATCAATCACAGAATCCCAGAAGTGCCTGGACTGGAAAAGCCCTTTAAGATCATTGAGTCCAACCATGAACCCAACACTGACAAGTCCCCGACTAACCCATGTCCCTCAGCACTGTGTCTACATGACTCTTCAATCCCTCCAGGGATGGGGACTCCACCACTGCCCTGGGCAACCCCTTCCAATGCCTCAGAACCCTTTCAGCAAAGAAATTCTTCCTCACATCCAATCCATCCAATGCCTAAAAACCACGGTGGGGTGGGTGTACTGCCAGCCTGGATCCACTCGTGATTAAAGGAACTGCTGACCTCAGCACACTGCTGGTTTCAACCTCTCTGAGCAACCTCCCCATAGAGTCAAGCAGCTGGATTATATTGCTTTAGAGTCTGGCTGGGCAAGTACAATCTCTCCCCAGCCTGAGCTGCAGGGAATGTTGGTTACTTAACTTCTGCTCTGGTTTTTGAGAGGTTTGCAGGCTCTGCTGCAGCTCGGTTATATAACCAGGCCATCTTTCCACAGGTTCAGACCTGCATGTTTTGGGAAATGAGGGTAGGAGACTCGTTCTGCAGCATTTGTTCCTGTTGGCTGCTTTCTGAGAGAGAGAAGTTACTAAACGCTCTGCTTCTGTGGGCTAAGAGGAGTTTGCCAGAATAAGGTCAAGGCAGAAGCTAATGGACTGAAAAGTTACACTACAGTGACAAGCAGGAACAGAGACTCTGATGGTATTAACGTCTTCAGCCACTGATGTTTTGCAGCTGGACGTTCCTCTGAGAAAAGCTTTCTCCTGGGTTTTGAGTCCACTGTGAAAGTGAGGATGTTTCTCTACTCCGAAGCTCGTGTTCGGCAGAGTACTGCAAACACCCTGCTGTTTTAGGACACGACATGGTAGCAACTGCCAACAACTGTTCCCGTATGTGGCCCATCAAACATCTCCACTGAGCCATGGAAAACGGGGATTTGAGATGGTGCTGGATCTTTTCCTCACTTTTAGTGATCGCTTTTAGCGATTCAAGTGCAGCAAGAGGCTCAAACTGTATCACATAATGCTTTTCTAGAAAAACAATCCTTGGGCAATGGCTGTAGCTGGCACAGGGAAGTTCAGCAGTTACCACCACCAACAAAGCAGAGATCCACGCTATGAAAATAAAGCCAAGATCTCAGCTCTCCTCGTGTACCGTAGCTGCCAGCAAGCCAGCGCAATACCCTCACAGCCAGCATTTTCAGAACCATTACTCGCCCACACAACAGAACTTTTAAGGAAGGTGGCTGTTTGTTCCAAGGCTTTTCGATCTTTGCCTCGGGAAATTTTATCAGCAGAGAAGAAAATGAATGAGAAATGTGTTCTACTCAACTCACAGACCGATTTGGTACCTTGGGTGAGTCATCTCCCACGTGTGAACTGGATAGAATCTTTACTCAGTCTTCAAATACAAAAGTGGGTGGCAGCAATGTTAGACCCTCAGGGGAACCTGCTCAGGGTTCTCTCCTCACTCATTCTCCCGATCTCGCCAGGATGTAACACACTGATCAGCCAAGTCCCTTCACTCTCCAGTTTGAACATGGGAAACATCAGTAACTCCCAGACTTTTCGTGTTGGGCAAATGCAGCAAAAGATGTCAAGACTGTTTCTGCCTCTCCACTGCAGCGCGAGAGAGCTGCAAAGGTCAAGACGAAAGATTGCCAACAGGCCAAGGAGAAAGCGCTTATTTATTGTACATATGGGCCCATTAACGCTGATTTTTCTCCTGTATTCAGCACATTTCTTCACTGCCCCTTACATTATCTTGTCAATCTTCTGCTCCCATCAGCATTTCCTGTCTCTCCCAGTGGTTTTGACACCTAATTCTCTTTTTCTGCCACAATCTTTATCTCAATTATGTCACGGCCTTCGAGTTGCGATTCATTCATGTCACTATAAAATTTAGACCAAGGTCTGAAAACGGGCCCTTTTTGTCTAATAAAAGCTGCGAGGTTTCACCCTGTCCCTTCTTCTTGCTGAAGGGCTGTTTGGCGACTGGGAGAGTCTGTGATTTATTCCGGTAGCTGGTTGAACAGACCATCTGATGTCACGTAAAGTCATGTAAAGACAGTTTTTAAACATTTCCTGAGGTACCGTCAGTGTCAATTTACCGCATGGAACAGGTCAGTTGAGTTTGTGACTTTGAAAAACAAACAAACAAACAAAAAAAAGAACAGAAGCAGAAAAAGAATTTAGATGAAGATTCTACATCTGGGCTTTTAGAAAACACATGAATTAGCAGCTGTTTCAGGTTGTTCTGGCAATAGGAATTGTCTCAAGAGGTAAATCCAGTTGTTTTAATTATATACTTCTCTGATTTAAAAAAACCCCTAAAAATATTGTGATGATTCTGACACACTATAGAATCACAGACTGGTTTGGTTTGGAAGGGACCTTAAAGATCATCCAGTTCCAACCCCCCTGCCATCAGCAGGGACACCTTCCACTAGACCAGGTTGCTCAAAGCCTCATCCAGCCTGGCCTTAAACACTTCCAGGGAGGGGGCAGCCACAACTTCCTTGGGCAACCGGGGACAGTGTCTGGCCACCCTCACAGTGAAGAACTTCTTCCTAATATCTAATCTAAACCTCCCTTCTTTCAGCTTAAACCCATTTCCCCTTGTCTTGTCAATAGTTGCCCTTATGAAAAGTCCCTCCCCAGCTTTCTTGTAGCCCCTTCAGGCACTGGGAGGCCACTATAAGATCTCCCCGGAGCCTTCTCTTCTCCAGGCTGAACAGCCCCAACTCTTTCAGCCTGTCCTCACAGCAGAGGTGCTCCAGCCCTCGGATCACCAGTTTCCTTCTCAAAGCTCTAAAAGGAAGCGCAGCCCTCTAACAAAGCACGACATCCTCCACCGCTTGCTTGGGGCAGGCAGCTTTCCTAGAGAGCTTGCTCTTCTCAATGAAACAGCCTTTGAACTCAGTGTTGAAGAGAACCAGGTTTCTACAACCCCCAATTACTGAAAATGGCCAGTAACTCAAAAGAACCATGTCTATGAGCTATGCTTTTTAAATTAAGCTGCAGCTGAATGTTATTTCCAGCAATACTGAAAGCAAACGTACTTATTAGGAACAAAGTAAAGGGAAAATAATCCTCAGGAAAACTCTCAAGGCAGTTTGCCTGTGAAGAGGAAACCAAAAGCAAAGTTCATCAGCAAAGCTGAACCTGCCCAGCAGCTGCGTTAAGGATCACAGAGCAGCTCTGAGCGAGCAGGAAAGGGTAACAGATGAATCCATCGTCCCAGCAGAAAAGGTGGTTTTGTTTATTTGGGGATTTTTGGCACCTGTGTGTTTTGCAGCCTTAGGTCCAGAGCCCCACAAAGGGAGTCCAAGAGATCAAAAGGATCTCAGAAAGAAGAGCTCTCCTCAGTCAACAGCCTCAAAACAGAGATGGAAACCACTGTGCAGAGAGCGTCACAGACCTAGAAAGACGCCAAGGCTGGGGTCTGTGTTGATCATAACCCAGCACAGTGGGCTCTGGAGGAGGAAGATGAAGATCTGCCTTACTCTTTCACACAAGCTCTGGACTCTGTTTCAGAACAACGTGCACCCTGGTAGTTACAATTTCACTACCAGGACACAAATACACACCTTTTCTCCAGCTGACCCCCGAGCCAGACAAGTCACATTTTTGATATTCTGAGTGCAAGCAAAAGCTACAAAGAAGTTGTTCTCCGGGGGTGCAGCCCCACAGTGGAAGCCTCAGTCGTAGGAAGGGAAAGTTTTCAGTAAACTCTGTATGAAACTCCCCAGATCCAGGCTCCTGCATTATATACTCTAAAAGTAACGGGTTCAGGGTTTTATAATTCATGCTTTTAGAAAGAGATTGTAAATCTCCTGATCTGTGCTGATCATTTTATGATGTACATCCTTCAGCACGAGCTTCAGGTAGTTGATAAGTGGGAAGCTCACAGAATGGTGGGGTTGGAAGGGACCTCAGGAGATCATCTAGTCCAGCCCCCCTGCCAAAGCAGGTTCCCCACACCAGGTTGCACAGGAAAGTGTCCAGGTGGGTTTTGAACATCTCCAGTGATGGAGACTCCACACCCTCTCTGGGCAGCCTGTCCCAGGGCTCTGGAACCCTCACAGTGAAGAAGTTTTTCCTTAAGTTTGTCTGGAACTTCCAGTGTTCCAGTTTTTGCCCATTGCCCCTTGTCCTGTCACTGGGCACTACTGAAAAGAGCCCGGCCCCATCCATTTGGCCCCACACTTCAGATATTTATAGACTTTGCTAAGATCCCCTTTCAGTCTTCTCTTCTCCAGGCTGAAGAGTCCCAGCTCTCTCAGCCTCTCCTCATACAGGAGATGCTCCAGGCCCCTCATTATCTTTGTAGCCTCCGCTGGACTCTCCAGAAGTTCCCTGTCCCTCTTGAACTGGGGAGCCCAGAACTGGACACAGCACTCCAGCTGTGGCCTCACCAGGGCAGAGGAGAGTGGGAAGTTCCATATATCACAGCTCCTTCTGATGAAAACTAGTGTCTAAAGCAGAAGATAGTCTGAACAACCCAGCCAAAGCTTCACCAGCAACACCTTCCACTGGAAGATTAGAAAAGATACCTAAATAATTATTTTGGCATATTTATGCTTCTTGCTCAGTTATAAACAGTACAAGTTTATTGCCATGAATATTCTGAAAAACTAGAAGATTGTGAAATATTATATGAAGTAAGTAAGGACTCCAGCTCTTAATGAGACAACTCATTACGGTGGAACTAAGGCCGGGAAGATGTTGTGGAGATCACGTCACTCACAGTGCTGCGCCTCCTGTCATTCAATATGCACATAGGAAATACATTTGGTATTTTATTAAGTAAACAAAGCAAGTATCAGTGCACATTTTAAGCAGCAAAAAGAAAAGAAAGCACCTCAGACTTTCATCCCGTAACAAAAGTTCTGTGGAAGCTGCATTTTATTTGAAAATCCACCCATTTTTGCTAACATACATTTTAATATTTTAAACAAAAATAGAATCTGCAGAGACAATGCAGCAAGTATGCTTAATTCATGTACAGAATTGCTTTCATATCAGCGACTCTCCTTCTGAAGGCCCCACTCCACCCAAAAGTTACGATGTATTTACACAAAGCACCGATCAACAGTGCTACTTTAATTCTTCGTTAACTAAATACCCACTAGATGGATGGTCAGGAAGCTACTTCCCCCTTTTTACGTTTAAAAGGTAGGTGATCATAAACATGGCACTAAGCCAAATGAAAAGCTTCCCCCCCCCCACCCCACCACCACCACACAACACCTCAATGTATTTTTTTTTTAATAATTTTTTAATATTTTTTTTTTTACAGAAAGGAAGGAAAGTCTTCAAGTGAAAGCAATTCCTCACATTCATTTTGGAAAGGCCTTATAATGTCAAATGTAAAAATAATGACATGCCAAGCACAAAGCAATAAAGTTCCTTCCCAATGCACTAATGCTGAATTAAAAATGTAGTGCTTCTTCTAGTCAGTTAACTGTTCCCTTGCAAAATCCTAGGCACAGAATTGACTATAGGGATTAATGCATTTTACAGCTCTCCCCTAATTCCCATATATACTGAGAATTCATTAGATTCAGACCTTTAAAATATTTAGTGCTCTGTATGTCAGCTGAAAAGCATTCTGAATCAGATTCATTCTTTGTGGATAAAAATCAGACATACTGTATACATCCATACTCATTTCCATAAGGAGGTTGGTTGTTTGTTTGTTTTTTTTGATACAATATTAATGTTAAATTGATAATCATAAATAAATACAAACAATAATACATAAGGAATGTCTACTGCAAACTGAATATATAATTTTTTTTTTTTTTTCTTAAAAAAAGTTAATTTCCATTACTGCTGTGCCTACATTTGTGAGGACTGAAGAAAAGGTAACTGCAGATTAAGAGTTAGGATTTGACCCTCCCCTGCCCAAAGTCTTGTTTCGAGTTACGGTAAAGGACACATCTCCACTCCAGACAGCGTTTCCAAACACCAATTTCCAGAATAAAAGGCTTCTCTTCACGTCTTACCGATATTATACGGATATTATTAGAAGCTGAAAGTATCGACGTGTTGTTAGTCACCAGGACAAAAAAAAACACCTGATCTTAAGTCTTAATTCATGGCAATTCTTGGCTTTGATGTTTTCCTACGGAGTTGTCCCAGGTTCCTTCATTGGTCTTCATCATTTCACTGCATCGTTCAATGGAAGAGGAGAGTTTGGGAGACTGAAGTTCATTTTTTCCTGGAAGTGGGAGTTTACTGGTGAGCACGTCTTTTTGGAAACGTTCCTTTCTCTTCCATCTAACACAGTTACATAAACTGAATCTGGAAAGATTAAAAACCCTCATGTTAACATCCAGCAGAAGTAGAACTTCACTATAAACCCGTGTTTTCTTCAAAAATTTCCATTCTTCAAACGCCCAAACTACCACAAGATCTGAAGGTCTGAACAGAAACAAAAATTTTGCAAAATCAAGGCCAGAAAACAATCGAAAGCCATCAGGATGTTCTTCCAACTCCACCAGCCTTTGGAACATCTCGTTGCATGAAGCCAGTTTACCCACCAACAGAAACTCTTACTTCTCCACACAATATTGTCACCAGCCTAACACAGATCCACATGGTTACGAGGAGAACAAAAGGTCACTTTTCACGCTGAACCAGAAGTCAACAAAGAAAACCAGAATGCTGTGTGCCATAAAACCTACTCTTTCTTTACACTATGTATTCTAGGTTGTATTTTTTTTTTCATGTTTTCACTCATTTTAGTATTTAATTCCCACCTGCTCCTGGTTGATAAAAAAACCCCAGCAGAACTGCAGTGCACGTCTGTACCAAAACGTGACCCTCGCACACGTGGAACGGTGCCTCCTCCTGCGCAAAGGGAACTCTTTGGTCAAGCCCACGAGCAGAGCGCCAGCAGCAGCGCTGCCACCCACCAACCTCACACATTTCCTGATGAAATGGTGAATACCAGGCAGCACTGGTTCCTTCTCCCCAAATGCAGCAAAGCACCACGTGCGCTGGCTCCTGCGGCTCAGAAAGGAACCAGCAAACTTCATTTCCAAGGGACTGAAGCAAAATTACTCGACGGGGCCTTTAAACCTCTGCAGTTAAGTGATACCGAGTTTCCAAGCCGCTTCCACAATGCTTCCAACTCAACATGACTTTTTATTTCCTTCAGAAACAGTTCTGGCCGTGTTAATAAATTAGAACTTTAATTTTGTTTCACATCACAAAAACCATCATCTCCCCAGAATAACGGACAATACCTAAGTTGTTCTACAAGAAATCCTGGAGAGAGATCTCTGCAAAGGGATCCTTTCCTGAGGCTCTGTGAGGACTCTGACTGGAAGGGCTGGATGCTGCAGACAGCTAGTAGGAAAGACGACAGAGAAAGGGAAAGAAAAAGAAAAAAAGGTCTCAGAATGACAGAATATGAAAGCTGAACGTGTAATGAAAGGACAAAAGGAGGTTAAGAGGCAAACTTGGCAAAAATCAACTATTAAAACAAGGTGTTTGGTCATATGGAAAACAGAAAGCCTCTTCAATGGGTGGTGTAGTGCAGAAAACAAGCTGGACATGACCCTCCAGAAAGGAAACTTCAGCTGGTGTTTGCCAGATTAGCAGGTAACTCTTGCACTTTCACAGCAGCTTCCTTCAAGAGAAGATACCAAACGTTAAGCCTGACTCCCGTGAAAGAGGTTAGCACTGTCCCAGATTTACTGGCAAAACTGTGTACTGGCAGGGAGAGAGGAGGCTGGGGGTCTGCCCAGAGCATGGCAGCTTTCCAGGTGCCTTCTCCAGAAGAAACAGCTCTCCACACCTTTTCCTCTCAAAATAGGATGGGTACAACAAGTGGCTGGAGAGCAGGAAATGGGTAATTCTCAGTTCGGGGCCTAGAAGGAGAATACAGGACATATTCTGGAGGCAGGAACTAAAAAAAAAAATAAAAATAATAAATGAGGGTTTGTCAACTGCTGGTGTTTTAGGTGAGAACTGAAGACCGAGACCAATAGTCCCAACACTGACAAAAACCACACCCTATAGCCACGGATTTACAGCACCACGCTACAAATTCAGCCACATAAAGCACCTAATTTACAAGTAGGTAATGATGACCTTCCAGCTGCTGCTGGGAGGAACCAATAATCAGCAGGCTGTCATTGCAGGAGTAGCTGCTATCTGTTTATTAGGTTTTTTTAACTGTCCTCCTCCTTTTTTAGTGCCTTCCCAGTTACAAATGGTGCTTTATTAAATTCTATTTGCCAAGCTTACATGTTTTTGCAGTTACAAATAAAAGGCAGCTTTCTCCATTTCGGGTTCCATCACTCTAACAGTCACTCCTGATGGAGTCACTAATTGCCAGCACATACCTGCACTTCATACCCATTGCAAAAAAGACATCGTATAAAGACATGTTTCCTTTGGAAATACCGAACGCCCGTCAACCTACACGTGGCAGGGAACGTGCTTATGGGAACGGTTTGCAGAAGTGCCCAGAGCCTAAATATTGCCATTGCAAATTTACATTTTTCACATTAATTTCTATCTCAGAAAGTGGAGAAGGACTTGTTTCAGGATCAGGACTTTCTATCTGTGTGGGAATCTTTACCTTCCCTCCCGAAACCCCACTCCCAATGGGCCACTCAGATCCAGTCCCCATAAACAGGTTATGGAACAGTTATGAGACAGAATGGGAAGTGCTCGAGAAGCAGGTTCAGGATGTCAGAAGTTTCCCTTTGAAACTCGGTTCTTCCCTTTGGAAAGCTGCAGCTCACACACCCCACCACTCTCTAGGATTTGAGCCAGACTAACGATAACGTCCCACAGAGTCATCACTTCAAGCAAGGCATGACTGCTGCCACTTGATGTCGTAAGACATTCTTCTTCTTCTCGGTCAAATGGCTTGAAGTCACGTATGAAAAGTCCTGTTAAATTGAGTCATCGAATCTCCAATTGATATCAAGTCCAAAGTGATGTCCCAGTTTGAAAGCAGTGTGGAAGACTGGTAGGTTTAGAGCTCTATCATTTGTGCAACATCAGCAGGTAACCAGAAACAAGCAGGTAACCATCAAGAAGTCTGTTCAGGTTAAATACTGGGGAAAAAACATGACAATCATAGAATCA